ACATTATGGTGATTGATCTTCTCGGGCCAAGTTTGGAAGATTTATTTAACTACTGTAATAGAAAGTTCACATTGAAAACTGTCTTGATGCTTGCAGATCAATTAGTAAGTGTGCAGGGCTCTTTTTGTGTTATATACATGAGCATTGGTTGGATGGTCCAACTAATTAACCCCTACCTATTTATTGTAACTTTCAGATTAACAGGGTTGAGTACATGCATTCAAGAGGTTTTCTCCATCGCGATATAAAGCCCGACAACTTCTTAATGGGACTTGGGCGAAAAGCCAATCAGGTACTGTTTTTGTGTGGTTCTGTATGGTCCTCTATGCCCCCTATCAAAGGGAGATTTTGTGAGGTTCTAGTCTTTTAGTGATTCAAATTATTGACAGAAATTCAGGATAATGGGTAAGAATGATTGAAGTAGCAAAGTCTTGTATTGTTCCATTGTATTTGATGCAGTTTCGATGAAGGATAATGATATTTTTGTTATAGACAATTGCAATAACAGTTCACGGTTTTTTCTAATCAGTGTTTCGTGTAATAATGCCGTTATAGGTATACATCATTGACTATGGCCTCGGAAAGAAGTACAGGGATCTGCAAACTCACAAGCACATACCATACAGGTTGATACTGATCTTAACCTCAGAGCTGAGAAAATTATGGTTCTGTTTGCGACATGACATGACAACATATGTATCTATTTTGTTTTAAATTATCCAATTCTTTGAAGATTCAGTTAAGTACAAGAATCTTTACAGTTTTTCCACCTCACTTTTTCAGGGAAAACAAGAACCTCACTGGCACAGCTCGTTATGCTAGTGTTAACACTCACCTAGGAGTTGGTGAGTAGTTTTGGAAGTGGATGAAACTCAAAACTTCGTAAACGTCTCAGCATTTTTTTTTTTTTTTTAAATATTATGCTTTTTTATGGGCAGAGCAAAGCCGAAGGGATGACCTAGAGTCTCTTGGTTATGTGCTTATGTATTTCCTAAGAGGAAGGTTAGTCTACTGAACTCCTGAAGAACACTCATGCATGTTTTAGGGCGGCCAAATGGAATACATGAATACTCTAGTCTTGTTTTTTGTTTGTGTATAATGACTGTAAAATTTCTGTTTCAGCCTTCCATGGCAGGGTCTCAAAGCAGGCACCAAGAAGCAAAAGTATGACAGAATCAGTGAAAAAAAGATTTCCACTTCTACTGAGGTACCCCAAAGAATCTAAAACAAAAACACGTACTGCATATGTGCTCGTATATGTAATAATCATTTAGAATGATCAAATTTTCAATAACTGATCGTTTGATTTCAAGTATTAAGTTATTATTTTAATCATAATTACTATTGTTTTATGTTAATATTAGATACAATAATTAGTTAGTATTTCTTACTAATATCAATAACAGTGTTTGTTCGCCCTCCCCTCGTGAATTAAAAAGAAAAAAAAAAAGAAAACTGGTGAAACTTTCGTTAGATCGGGCAGAGTATAAAAATGGTGATGCGATAACACTGATACTATTATACAATTTATATTATTCTTTGTTAATATATTTTTATTTCCAAACACGACCTCACCATGATCATAGAACGTATGTCTCTTTTATGAGCAATTGGTCTCTATCTATGCTACTATTTGCTGCTATTAATTGTAATTATGTTTTATAGGCGCTTTGCAAATCACATCCACCAGAGTTTGTATCTTATTTCCAATACTGTCGATCACTGAGATTTGAAGACAAACCAGATTACTCATATTTAAAACGACTTTTTCGTGACTTGTTCATACGACTAGGTAATTCATTGTTCTTTATCTGAACCTTCTAACTTTATATTCACAATATTTATTTCTTTAACCCTCTATATAAACCTTCGTTTGAAGGTTTTCTTTCCCCTCCTTCAAGTGGAGCCATTATCTGTAATTTTTTCCTTCATAGGCCTTGACCTCTGTTTTTGTATGACCTAGTTTGGTGTACATCCATTCATCTTAATGTAATCCGGTTTCTTATTGGAACGAATTTGTTGCTTGAACTTTCATGGCTTGCTTTTATCTCCCTTTTTCGTTGTCCATTATACCATTCAGCGATGAGTATCGATTTCTTAAGGATCTGAACATTTCCTTTCAGGCTATCAATTTGATTATGTGTTTGACTGGACTATACTAAAGTACCCTCAAATTGGAGGTGGCTCCAGAGGACGAGTAAATACTTGCAACTTTTTCCTTTTGTTTATATATATATATATGATATGGATTTGTTATTTTGGTTTCTGGTCCCATTTTGTAGCACTCAAGTGGGAAAGCCGCAGTTACTCCAGGGCCATCTGCAGAAAGGCCAGAGAGAACCTCAGGTCTGCTTCCTTGAAGTTTTCCTCGTTTAGAATTATTGTTATTTTTCTTAAAAAAGGACTAAGAAACATAAATTTTCAGAAATAAAGTTCCAGTTTAGCGTTAAACATATTGCTTATTACTTGTTGGTTTTATTTGTTGAAGTTGGGAAAGAGATCCGGGAAAGATTGTCAGGTGCAGTTGAAGCATTTTCCAGGAGGAATATTTCCGGTTCCAGTCCACATGTTGAGCATTCTAAACAAAAGGCTTATGAGGATGTGGTAAATTACTTTCATTGATTTTGAACTATCATTTAATAACATATTACTTTATCCAAATCTTACTATTGAATCTTCTAGATCGGATTGATTTTCATCTTTCATTCTATTTCTTGTTACAAATTCGAATGGTTACCTGAACGGATGGAGATGAGACTGTCTAGGGGAGGAGAAGTGTGAGATCCCACATCAGTTGGAGAGGGGAACGAAGCATAAGATGTGGAAACCTCTCCCTAGCAGATGCGTTTTAAAACCTTGAGGGGAAGCCCATGAAGGAAAGTCCAAAGAGGACAATATCTACTAGCAGTGGGATTGGGTTGTTACTGTTAGACGAACACGACTCTCCACAATGGTATGATATTGTCCACTTTGAGCATAAGCTCTCATGGCTTTGCTTTGGGTTTCCCCAAAAGGCCTCACACCAATGGAGAGTGTATTCTTTGATTATAAACCCATGACCATCCCCTAAATTAATCAATGTGGGACACTTTCATCCAATCGTTACAAGAAGAGAGGTTGTTTGGCCCTTTTGGTGCATATTCTTCTATTTCGGGAGGGACACCGAAAATAGAAGAGCTGACGCATGCCTTGGGCATGCTTTTATGTGGTGAAAAGGAGAAGAAAGTTGGAAAAAGATGGGTAGTTTTGTTCAGCTTGCTCTAGAGAAGGGAAGAAAGCAAAAAACACGAATTGGAAGTAATAAAACCAAGGTTGCCTGATAAAAAAACATAAAACGTGAAGTGAACCATAAAACTGGTACATGAAATGGAACTAGTAAAAATGGCGTGCTGCAGGACTAAGAACCAAGCCTTAGGAGTTGCCTGGTTATAATCGTTGAAGTGTCTGCTTAGTTTAGTTTTGGTTGGATATGATTATTGTCCTTCGATTTGTTTGACAACGAAATTCAGATCGAATTTTCAGAGCTGTTTCTTGAACTAGCTCGTTCGAATAAATTTTCCGTAACGTATCATTGTTCTTCATTTGTTTGACTCAAATGTTGCATTTGGGGAAAGATTTAGCTATAATCTTTGTAGTTGCACTTGGGAATTTTTGGAGGATATACTTCATTCATGATTGTTGTAGTGATTGCACTTAGTGAGATCATGCTTGTAGAATGTGGTGTTATATCAACTTTCTAATTGAAGTTATGGCAATCCTTGTTTTCAGCGTCCTGATTCTGACCGTGTTCGTGGTTCTTCTTCCCGATACGGAAGCTCCTCGAGAAGAGCTGTAATTGCAAACAGCAAGCCTAGTTCTTCTGCCGATCACAGCGAGGCTCGTCGACTAGTAGCGAGCACTGGACGCCCCTCTACCACTCAAAGACTTCATTCTTCTTACGATACAAAGCCAACCTCATTTGTTCGAACATCAACTGCAAAAGGCAACCGTGACGATCCCCTCCGAAGCTTCGAACTTCTATCAATCAGGAAGTAACAAGTTGAAGAAGGTTTTCATTAGGGTATTTGGCATACGCATTAGAGGGATAACGCCCTCGCGTTTGCGATTATTTGCATCATTTAGTTCTGTTCTCTCTTGTACATGGACATCGGCCAATCCCAACCCGAACCCGATCATGAACCAACAATGCAGCAGCAGGTCAGTTGACACATCTTGTATGACCCACCCCCCTCCCTCAAAAGAAAAACCAGGATTATTTTTTTTCCAGCCCTTTGCCCTCTGAAGCGTTTACGGCGGGCGATCGTATCATGTTCTTGGACGCCACCACTCGAGATGCAGACTTTGACGTTGAACATTTCTAGTTGTGACCCAAGTAACTGTAATAAAAACTGTATTTCCTTTCAAGTAGGCTTATGAATTCAAGAGAGACACTTTGAATGCCTCAAAAAGGAACCTTCTTGTGCTTCCTTTTTTGATCTTGTAGCGATGGAAACAGACAATTCCCGAGCCTTTTCAATTCAGAAATGGGCTCTTGCTTTTCCAGGAAAGGTTGTTGTTATATAATCTTTTATTATTATTATTATTTTTCTTTTAAATTGAGATTATAAACGTTTGGTCTCATTAAGAAATTTGATTTAATTTGTATATTAATGTTAGTTGGTTATAAATAAAAAAAGAAAAAAGGAAAAGTAATTTCTAATTTTAGTTTGTAAAAAGAAAGAGAAAGAGAGAAGAAGAAGAAGAAAAAGGGAAGATTTGGAGTGTTAATAGAGAGGTAATATTTGGAAGGGGGATTTTGTGGCGAAGAAGGGTTTGGAATGCAACCAACAAGAAAAGGAAAGCCACCAAATGAACGAAATGAAGGATCCCTTTTCTTCTTCTTTTCTCGCCCATTTCTCTTCTTCCCATTTTCCAACCTTTGTTTCTTCTTCTTCTTCTTCTTCTTCTTCTTCTTCTTCTTCTTCCTCTTCCTATCATTATTCCAAACACACCAGAGCCTTCCCTTCCCTTCCCTTTCACCTTCTCCTTTTCACCTCCTCCTCCTCCTCCAACCCCATCCTCTCCATACTCATATTAAGAAGATGAAAGGCCTCCTCAAAGGCCTCAAATTCATGTCCCAAATGTTTGGTATTTCCTCCTTTTCTCCTCTCCCTCTCTCTCTCTCTCTCTCTCTCTCTCTCTCTCTCTCTCTCTCTCTCTCTCAACTCTTCTTCTTCTTCTTCTTCTTCTTCTTCTTCTTCTCATGTTTTTTCTTTCCCAGAAAATGAGAAAGAACCTGAAATGCAGATTGGCCTTCCCACCGATGTCAAGCATGTTGCCCACATTGGCTTGGATGGCCCCTCTGTTAATTCTCCTAGCTGGGTATTTCTTACTTTATTATTTCCTTTCCTTCAATCAATCCCAAACAGGGCGTTCTTATCATTCCATTTAAGAATGTTTTGGGAAACCGTTTAATTTCATTTAATTGGAGGGTTTTTTTGAAAATAAAATTATTCGAAAGGACCATATCTCAAATATACTACTATTCTTAGAGGGGTTGAATGCAAATGAATGGTTTGGCAAAAAGTTTAATTTAATTTAATTCGAGGGTTTTTTTGGAAAAAAAATTATTAGATAAAGGACTAAATCTCAAATCGGGTGTTCTTACCAAGTGTTGAATGCAGATGACTGAATTTAAAGCTCCGCCTCCTTCATCTGCCCCTAATGGAGATATCAAAGCCCCGAACGAAGATGCCTCTGTCCCATGGGCATCTCAAGGTATTGAATACTTTTCTCGTCTTCCTAATTTTAATTTCCGTTTCGTTTTCATTGTCATATTCATGTAGTCTGATATAGATCCATAAGACTAAACAGATATAATCTTGAAAGTTTATAAATTATTTAAATTAATTAAAATACCCCTAAACTTTCAAAATTTTCAATGACATCCTTAAACTTTTTGAAAATTTCAAAAAATGCCCTTATCGGATGAAAACTGTTTATTAGTATTTTATTCCAATATGCCCTTCAATTTTCAAAAAATTATATAATTATTATAAAAAAATTAAAATAAAAAATTATAAAAATACACAAAAATAGCATATTTAGAATTTTTAAAATACTTTAAAAATTAAATATTAGAATTGGATAAAGTTGTAATTTAACTAAAATTATTATTTTTTTTTAAAAAAATGAAATTTAAATCTTTTGAAATACACGTGTGGGAGAAGTTACTGAGTGGTAATGGATTTCGAATAGATTCAAAAAGGGATATGGCAGTTACGACCCGGGACTTGCCGGAGCTACCAAAATCGTCGAGACGGCAGTCGTCGACCGTCGGCGAGTCTACGGGGAAGGAGAAATCGGAGAAGGTAAGGTCAAAGAAATCTTCAAAGTCGAAGGAATCCGATGGCGTCAGAGCGTCCCGTCGGAGCGCTGATCTGAACCAGGGCGGCGAGTCTCCGACGCAGGTCGCCCCTGGAATTCCGAAAAAAGCGCGGCGGAAGAGATCGAAGGAGGACGGATCGACGAGATCCAAATCCAAAGCCACGGCGGCGGAGAGTTGTTCGTCTCAGTTCTCTGATAACGGGTCGGATGCCGGATCCATAGCCGGATCCATTTCCAGATCCAACGAAGAGGACTTGTTAACAGGAGACGTTTTCACGTGAAAAAAAAGGGGAAGAAGGAAAAGGGGAGAGGGGCAATTATGTAATTTAAGGTCGTAGGTAGGGTAACTCTCTAGTTTTACCGCATTTTTTTTACCTTTCTTTTTGGGTTAAGTCTCGAGACATATGAACTAGGTGTTCGGAGCACTAAATCGCATACTTGTTCAAAATGTTCGATGACCCAAAAAACTCATCAACCCCGTACAGTTCGGGTTGAATTCAAATAAATGAAAACTTTATGAATTTGATTGGTTCATGTATTCCCGTAAAATTAATTTGGGATGGACAGAACCAATCTGAGTTCATTGTTAATTTTAAAATATATTTTTTTCTTATATATACCTGTTTTTATTTTATTTTATAATTATTTATTCTAAAAAATATATATTGAAATTGAGTCATTTAAATAATAATAAATATTTTATCGCATTTAAATAAATAATATTTGATTTTAAAAAAATATTTAAATTATTTTCCATTATTTACCTGAAAATATATAAAGCCCAATCCACCGACATTATTAAATGTTCCAATTAATTAATAATTAAATTATTGTGACATTATTTCCATTTTTAGGGTTCCATTGGTCATGTTATTTATGTTAGTACATTATTCTCTAAATTGAGTAAACTAATATTTATTACATAAATAATAGTATGGAATATTATAAATTCTAATTACCGCCATTCTCGACTATAAAAAGCTCAGCTCCTCTTATAGTACACATATAGTTCGAGTCCGTCCATCTCCTTATCTCTCGACTTCGCTTCTCTCTCCCTCATTCTCAATCATCGTTGTCTCCATCCATCTCTCTCGTCGATCATCGATTCCTGTTGATGTTAAATTGTTTTATTGTCGTCTCTCCATCCGTCTCTCCTGTCATTTTTCATAGTAGACAATCATCGATTTCTGTTGACGTTACGTTTTTCATCGTCGTTTCCATCTGCCTCTCCTACCGTTTTCGTTGTAGATGATCATCGATTCCTGTTGACGTTAAATTTTTCATCGTTGTTTCCATCCTCCTCTCTCGGTTGTCATAGTAGACTATCATCGATTCTTGTTGACGTTATATTTTTGTTCAGTTGTTCGATTAGATTGCACCTCTGAAGCGACAGACTGTACGTATCCTCCCCATTTTTATCGTTTTCTTATGTTAATCTTTTTTTTTCAAAAACTTGAAATATTATATTTTGTAATATATATATATATATATATATATATATATATATCGATATATATATTTCAAAAACTTGAAATATTATATTTTGTAAATAATGATTTATAAATTTTTTTCTAAAATTTTTAATATTTTACAGGTATTTTAAAATTAAATCAAATTCTTTATTATCTAATTTAAAAAATATTCATAATTTATATAAAATTTTAATTTATTAGGTATTTATTTTAATTATTTAAAAAAAAAACACGTACTAAAATTAATTATTAAAAAATGGAAACGAAATTGCTCACTTTTATTGCTTGATAATATTGTAAATTTTTAATTAAAAATTATAATTTTATCCAACAATAATAGTTTTTTAAAACATTAAAAAATTGGTTTTTTATTATTTAAAATTAATGTTTTTCATACATTTATAATATAAATTAATCAAATTTTAAATAATATTATTCAAGATTATTCCATAGTATTTGTCTATACGACAGACATGGAAACTAGGAAACATTAAAAAAATATATATATAAAAAATTAGAGATGTTCATATGACTCGAAAATTTGATCGACTTCGTCTATTTAAGGTTGAATTAAATTTTTTTTTTTGGGTTGGAGTTGAATTTTTGAAAAACCAAAAAATCGGACTGATTCGCTGACGTTTTTTGGTCGGATTGACCTGACCTACTCGAAAATAGAGTTACAATACAATGCTACTTTTAAAATTATTATAAAGATTAAGAATATTTGACGTTTATGGCAGATGTTAGTAATGCATTGTGACTTATGAATATTTGATATTTTAGTTATAAATGGATAAGTAAGATGTTTTAAATAATTAAAAACAAAGGCCGACAACTCAACCCGGGATGGGTTGAGAACTTTATTCAGATTGTTTGGGTCACTAACCCAATCAAACGCAAAATTTTGGGACAGTACAAAAGTTTTTACCTATACACTCCTACAAAAATGAGTTCAAATTATGATTAAAAACAAAACCCGACAATCCAACTCGAGTTTAATTGGAAACTTTATTCAGATTGTTCAGGTCACTAACCCAATCAAACCTAAAATTTTGAGACGGTACAAAAAATTTTACCTACACACTCCTACAAAAGTGAGCTCAAATTATGACTAAAAACAAAGCCCGACAATCCAATTTAGATTTAATTGGAAATTTTATTCAAATTGTTCGAGTCACTAATTCAACATGGACACGGACAAAAGTTTTTTACCATATACACTCCTAGAAAAATGGGCTCAAATCGGATATGTTCATAATCCTTTCGGGATAAGAAATTTGAAGTTTTCTCTCTTTTTCTTCATTATTTCTTGCTATAAATATCCCATCCGATGACACTCTCAGCAAGATCCAGAGTGGAGAGTTTCAGTCTCAGCCGCAGTAGAAGGAATCTCAAGGTCGGGAGATAGCGAAAATGGAGGATCGAGAAGTTCGATCTCACCCTCTGTTGAGAAGACGAAGAACAGAGCTCAGCCATGGCTTCTCTTCCTCGCAAATGGAAGCCATGGCCGCCTTCTGTGAAGCTCTCATTCCTCCGCTGCCTCTGGTCAAAGAAGATCCACTCCATCAATCGATTCTTGCATTCTACGAAGCTTCTGCTTCTCAAGCCCCGATTCCTGATGAGGTCGTGTACTTACTCTACGATCCTTTTATGTTCTTAATCTTCGTTTTCTCTCCCCGCTCGAAATTTGGAGATTCTTATGCTGGAAACTCGCTTGTTTGTTTGTTTTAACGTATCGGATTTTTAGGTAGCTGCGCTATTGGTGGATAGGGCTAATCCGAAAGCTGTGTTTCTTGTGAAATTGGTTTTGAGGCTTCTGTCTTTTAGAATTGGAACATTGTTGCTTTGTGGATATCTTTGCTTCGATTGGAGATGGCCTTTCGTTCTCAAATTCTCTGAGATTTCTCTGGAGAAGAGAGAACAGATTCTCAAGGATTGGTCTGTGGCTCACCAGAGGTATACTGTGCTTCTGAGAATGGTTTTTATGATTATAAAAATGTTCTGCTGCTTCAAATTCTTCTCCGGGGTAAGCTTTCTTTGAACACTCTCATGTCTTTTTTTCTATATCTTTGATTTAGTGTTCATATTCCACATTGCTTTGAAGATTCTGGTTAAGGATGATGATAAAGTGGATATAAGTGTGAGATCCAATATCGATTGGGGAGGAGAACGAAACATTCTTTATAAGGCTGTGGAAACCTCTTTTAGCATATGAATTTTAAAAACCACGAGGGAAAGCCCGAAAAGAAAAGCTCAAAGAGGATAATATTTGCTAGCAGTGGGTTTGGGCCGTTACAATTGGTATTATAGTTAGACACCGGACGATGTACCAGCAAGGAGATTGAGCCACGAGGACATTGGGCCCCAAAGGGGTGGATTGTGAGATCCCACATCGATTAGGGAAGATAACGAAACATTCTTTATAAGGTGTGGAAACCTCTCCCTAAATAGCATATGTGTTTTAAAAACCTCAAGGGGAACCCCGAAAGGGAAAACTCGAAGAGAACTGACAATATCTACTAGCGGTGGGCTTGGGACGTTATAATAAGTTTTTTTTTTTTGTTTTCTAAAAACAATTATAATAAAGAAGTTGCTAGAAAACAAAAAGGCAAAAAGTGTTAGTGATTGGGCCTTCATTTTGTTTGTTGTTTTTCAATCAATCCTACAGAGAGTTCCTTTTTGTTCTACTGGTTTAGCCAACAAGAAAGATCTGTTGATATTGACTATTGAGTACTATCATACAGAGAATTCCTTTTTGTTCTGTTTCAGATCGACAGAGAGTCGAAGAACATAGCATGGGAAGCGATGGGGTATCGTGTAGACACCCGGAAACGGTTGAATGATACCCGAAAAGAGCGGCCTCTTGAAAGGGGGGTGATAGAAGCTGGCAAAGAAGATGATTCCACTCTTCTCCAGTCTCTTTCCATGAAAGGCCTTGCAGTGACTGAGGATCCAAAACACGGTAGCACCTATACGATCAAATGTGATGTTGTGATTGTTGGCTCGGGTTGCGGTGGCGGGGTTGCTGCTGCGGTTCTTGCAAAATCTGGTTTGAAGGTAGTCGTTCTCGAGAAAGGGAACTATTTTGTGCCTGAAGATTATTCTTCCCTGGAAGGTCCATCCATGAATGAACTATATGAAACAGGTGGACTCAAGTCAACAATTGATGGGAAGGTTATGCTGTTGGCTGGAACTACTGTAGGTGGAGGCTCTGCTATAAACTGGTCTGCATCAATTAGAACTCCTAAACCTGTTCTTGAAGAGTGGTCTACCATTCATAAGATTCCTTTGTTCGGGAGCTTCGATTACCGATCGGCAATGGACGCTGTGTGTGATAGAATTGGAGTGACGGAGGGATGTCGACTTGAAAGTTTTCAGAATCAAGTTCTTCGAAAAGGGTGTGAGAATCTTGGTTTGAAGGTCGATTCGGTTCCGAGAAATTCCTCAAAAGATCATTATTGTGGCTCTTGTTGTTATGGTTGTAGGGTTGGTGACAAGAAAGGGACTGATGCTACTTGGCTGGTTGATGCTGTTGAATCTGGTGCAGTGATCCTCACAGGCTGCCGAGCTGACAAGCTCGTTTTGGAGAACACGAACAACACAAGTCGAAACAAGCGATGCTTAGGAGTGATAGCAACTATGCTGAGCAAAAACGTCACAAAAAAGCTTTATATTGAAGCAAAAGCGACAATCTCGGCTTGTGGTTCTCTCCTAACACCGCCTCTACTGATTGCAAGCGGACTACGTAACAAAAACATAGGCAGCAATCTTCATTTGCACCCGGTTATTCTAGCTTGGGGATACTTCCCCGAACAACTATCCGATTTCACGGGTAAAATATACGAGGGAGGGCTCATTACTTCCCTTCACAACGTTGTCTCAAAAGATTCCAATAGCCATGCCATAATCCAAACCCCTGCTCTTGGACCAGCCTCATTTGCTGCCATGTTTCCATGGACGTCCGGGCGTGATATGAAAGACGCAATGGTGAAATACGCTCGAACCGCTCACCTTTTTGCTTTGGTAAGAGACAAAGGTGCAGGAGAAATAAAGGCAAAGGCTAACGTAAAGTATCGACTCGACCAAACCGATAAAGAGAATCTAAGAATCGGTTTAAGACAGGCATTGAGAATCTTGATTGCAGCAGGAGCAACTGAGGTGGGGACCTATAGAAGCAATGGCCAGAGATTCCGATTTCACGGGACAAACAAGGAAGACTTGGAGGAGTTCCTCGACTCTGTCGAGGCAGCCGGGGGACCATTCTCGAGGGAAAAGTACTGGAACATTTACTGCTCGGCGCATCAGATGAGCAGCTGCAGGATGGGCAGCACAGAGGAAGAAGGAGCAGTGGATGAGAATGGTGAAAGTTGGGAAGCAAAAGGCTTATTTGTATGTGATGGAAGTGTGCTGCCAACTGCAGTTGGAGTGAATCCAATGATCACAATTCAATCCACAGCTTATTGCATCTCAAAGAAACTTGCAGAGTCTTTGAATTAAGAAGAAACTTTCAATGTTCTTCACTTAGATAGTTCTTCATTCACTGCAATCTGTTCCTCCTAGTTCATAAGATGTAAAATAGTTGAGGGTCGAATAAATTTCAAGTTAAAATAACGTTTTAGTCCTTGTACAATGAATTTTGTTCCATTTTAGTCCTCGTAATTTCAAGAAATTTTAAAATTATGTAAATATATTAAGTTCTTTTTAAAAAAAATTGACAATAAACTACCTGCCACTATTTTTAAGATTTATATTTGATCAGAGGACTAAATTTAAACATTTGAAAGTATAGAGACTAAAATAGATGAATCACAAAGTATTTTTATGAGATCCCACGTTGGTTGGATAGGGAAAACTAAACGTTTCTTATAAGGGTGTGGAGACCTCTACCTAACAAACGTGTTTTAAAACTGTGAAGCTTACGGCGATACGTAACGGGCTAAAGCTGATAATATCTGCTAGCAGTGTGCTTTGACTGTTACAAATGGTATTAGAGCCAGACACTGAGTGGTGTGCTAGTGAGAACACTAAGCCATCAAGGAGGGTGAATTGTGAGATCCAACATCAATTAGAGAGGGGAATGGAACGTTCCTTATAAGGGTGTGGAAACCTCTCCCTAACAGATGCGTTTTAAAATCGTGAAGTTGACAGTGACACGTAACAGGCTAAAGCGGACAATATGTGCTAGCAGTGTGTTTGGATGGTTACAAATGGAATCCAGAGCCAGACACTGGGAAGTGTGCCAGTGAGGATGTTGGCCCCTAAGGAGGGTAGATTTTGAGATCCCACATCGGTTAAAGAGTGGAATGAAATGTTCTCATAAGGTGTGAAATAACATACACGTTCTAAAATTGTAAAGTTGACAACGGCACATAACGGGCTAAAGCATGTGCTTGGACTATTACAAATGGTATCACAGCCAGACACCAGGCGGTATGCCTGCGAAGACGTTGGGCCCTCAGGAAGGGTAGATTGTGAGATCTCACATCGGTTAGAGAGGGGAATGAAACGTTCCTTATAAGGGTGTGGAAACCTCTCCCTATCAGTCACCTTTTAAAACCGTGAAACTGACATGAATATGTAACGGGCTAAAGCGAACAATATAGGAAGAAGAAAAAAGAACGGTTATCCTAACAGTAACTCTATTTATCGTATTTTTTTTCAGAACAAGTGAGGGTACGAGCATTTGAACCTCCATCTTAAAGGGAATGAGTATCTAGTTTTTTACAGACAAATAGCAGTTCACAGGAGACCAAAGAAAAACATCTATTGAGTTCAGATTCTACTGCCATCACAAATCTATCTTTAAGCTAAAGAATGCATAAAAGATTCTCAGAAAATGAACGTACTTGTTTTGAAGTTCTCGCCTGAAAACGATCATATGTACGTGTGAGAACGTATATAAATCCTCTGTACGTCTATCCGGACAGGACTTCGAGCTCAAAACGGTCGAGCCAAAGCTTTGTCATTGATCCATAACGGCTTCTTTGCTTTGTAATAGAAAAATGCAATCATCTGAACCAGTTCATCCGCCATCCGAAAGTCTGCAAAAGAATGTAACGAGAGGCACACGCATCGGTTCGGATTTAAAAGAAACATTTGCACAAACTGAAATGGATTATAGCAAGAAACAAATGCAAACCTTTTTCCCGGTATAGGACCTTGTTTCCTCTTAAAAATAAAATTTGAGGACATTCTCTAACTTTCAGAGCGTAGGCTAGATCTCTCTCGATATTGATGTCGATTTTAACCGACTGCATTACAAGTTTAACGAGACTAGAATAAACAGATGCCAGGTAAAACAGTCATGGGGGGGGGGGGCGGGGTANGGGGTAGATCGAGGATTCGGCTACTCGGGACTCAAATCTCGAGGAATCAAACAGATAAAAAAAACACGAAACTTAGCTCATACCCGGGGTGGTAATCGATCTTTTGCGTTCCAGTACACTTGTAGTGCTTTCTCAAGTTCTTTCAAAGTCTTCCAATTATCAGTTGCCCTGTGAACAGAAAAATCAATTCGTCATATCAGTATCGGCGGTTCGAAAAATTCGCAAAGTTCGAAAGGTAGAAGAAGAGCACCTGTTATATCTTTCGAAAACAAGAACAACAAGTGGACTAGGATGAAAAGCAAAGCTCTCCCACTCCAAACAGTTGATTTCCTGCACCCAGTTGTCATCAATTTCCCCTTCCCAGTCAATTTCGACACCATCATCCCCAACTACGTTCTTGATCGGGTGCTGTTCAAAGTACTCGGATGCTCGAACTCCCCATCCCACATCGGCATCCAAAGGCCAATTTGGATCTTCTTCCTCCACCACTATCTTCTTCTTCTTCTTATTCCGTCCAGTTCCATCACTTTTTTCTACCTCCTCTTCTTCGTCCTCGTCCTCTTCATCGTCACTACTTTCAGATTCAACCTCGTCGTCAACCTTTTCCTTGAATACGTTTTCCTTATTTTCCATTACTTCTGCATTTTGCTGTCGTATTGATGCAAACGTTTGTTCAAGTGTGTTGCGAACATAATCTTCAAGAGCTGCAGCTTCACTTCTACGACCACGTCGAGGCTTCCTTGGGATTGTTGTCGGGAAAATCCTATCATCATTTTCTTCCTCCTTTTCAGAAGCCTTGCTTTTCCTACTGCGACTTCTCGACTTTGGTTTCACTTTAGAATCAGCACTAGGCTGAGAATCCTGTTCTGAACTCGATTTTGACGAAAGAACAAGGCAAGGAAGTTTTCGGCTGTGACTAAAGTGTACAAGATTCGGCAAAATACTGACTGAATGAAATCTAGAATAACGAGACGGCTTAAAAGTCTGATACTCAATAGGAACGGTTAAGAATCGATGCAAAGTAGCACTATGAACTGTATATTGAGGTGAAACGGGCATCGAGACAGAAGGGGCTTGGAGAAACATCATTTTCTCAGTTTCCAAACGGCATAGACTGAAACCTGTTAAGAACAGAAAGGAGCAAAAGGAGCTTGGACGTCGGGAACACAGATGAGACCGAAATCCATATCAAAACTAAACACAAACAAAGGCGCTCACAACTGCCCCATTACTCTGTAGTTAGACCTCGACTTAACTGAATATCTCAACTAGGTCTCCTCGTAAGCTTACACGCCGACTTTATGTCAATACCTAACCATAGAAACAAATTTAATTTTACAAACCATTGTCATAAATTGATTTTCCACAATCATCAAAACATACCTAATTTGTTCCCTTGTATCAGTTTCAGGCTTTACTGTAATAAAACAGACAAAAAACCCAGCTAAAGCTATGCCTGGGAGTACATTTCTACCATAGTAGAAGTACTTTTAGGTGGTTAAAAGCACTTTCAAATTCAACTATTTACAAATTCAGAAACACTTCTCAAAACACGTAGGGTTTTCAGATTCAATCCTCTAACATCTTGGACGAAGACATGTGTCCAAACGAGTTGAGTTGTGCTCGAGCGGGGGAGCTCTCATTACCTTCCCACCATACACTCCTACACCAATTTCTTGTTGTAACAAAAACGGAAACAAGATCGATCGCACTCACACACCCACAAACATAAATTAAACAAAGAGACACAAAGATTTACGTGGTTTGGAGAGAAGAAATTCCCCTACATCCACGGGCGACAACCAATCTCAATAATCAAAGTGTTTACAAAGTGTATATCTCACCCTCTCAAAGTACAAAGTCTAACTCAACAAAATTCCTCTCAAATGCCACTATGTAAATACAAAATGACACTCAATCTCAATACCTCTCAACCATCCTAGACAATCTTTTATATAGTCCTAGAAACATTAATGTCATACATGAATCAAGATGATTCACGTATCAAAATGGGAGATGAACCAAAAGTGGGTGATGAACCAAATGAATGAGAGATGAACCAAATGAATGAGAGATGAACCAAATAAATTCCAATACATGCATAGGAAAAGGAAATGCACCAAAAAAATGTTCACGAATCTCTGAGTTTACAGTGTTTGAAAGAGATTGTTCAAGAATAAATGAATTAGCTACTTTATAATCGAGCTACTTACTCTCGAACCTAGTTAGAAACTCTTAGTTTACCATACTCTCATCTTCTCTCCAGCAAAGAAATGACATATAATCACAGTACCTCATCTCGACAGCTTCCATTTGATATTGAGAAAGCGACAGGCCCCAATGAACTCTCTAATAATGCCCTGAGGGGCTGAAGAGTCAAGCGCGAAGAGTAATTGATCAGATTCGTGGTCGTTCCTACTACGAAACACTGGTAATACTCAAACTCATGCCTTATCGAGCATGTTATCCTATTTTTGATTTGGTTTATTCGGCAGCTGCAAATGCTCGTTGCAATATGGGTTTCAACGAAGCAGATTTAGTCATTAGTAAAGCGGAAGTCAACCAAAGTACTACTGTGAAAAAATTAAAACCTCGAGCTCGAGGGCGAAGTTATCCCATAAAACGACCCACTTGTTCTATAACTATTGTATTGAAAGATACACTTTTGTCTGAGTTTTCTTCAAACAAGTTGAAAAGATACCAATACAACATATTACACTTAAACAAACCTGATGGATGGATAACGAAAGAAGAGTACCTAGATATGACGTCTTATGACATGTATAAGAATGGGGGATTAAGGGACAAAAAAAATAAATCCACTCGGTTTTAGATTTGGTGTAACCCAAGGGCATCATTCTCTTTGGTTTGCACACCCCAAAAAATATTCCGAAGGAGTAACCACATATCGTCTAAGATAGAATGGAACTGTCTTTGATTGAGACAACTGACTGATATATAGAAAGTGTTCCGCTAGATGAACGAGACTAAACTACTCTCCCAAGATTCATGAATGAACGAGACTAAACTACTCTCCCAAGATTCATGAATGAACGAGACTAAACTACTCTCCCACGATTCATGAACTTATTCTTCGTGACAATTTATAACATTTCTTTGTACAAACTTCTCTATGGCATAGATTTTATCTCAGTATTCTCTCTTTACACACACATTCTCTCGCTCACTTCCTCTGTATGCATCGAATTAGTACACACAGAAAGAGGCGCAGGCTTAAATATAAAGAGAAATCCATTAAAACTAAGCAGAAAACACTTCAAACGGCAGCAAAAAGACAGCAAAAACAAGACCCAAGGGATCATTGGAAGCAAATAATTGAATCTCAATTCCACTTCCTCCTTCCTTCAGACCTAGAAGATGGCATTTCAAAACACTTGCGTACAAAAAGAAAATGGAAGATAATCAAATCCGATAATACAGGCATAAGAACAGTAAACTAGTGGAAATTTGAGCAAGTTTCGAAGCAATTTTGAACATACTGTTACTCGGAGCCAGCTGAAAGCAGGGAAATCGCTCTGTCTGAAGATATTTGGAGCTTCCCCGGTCCAGATTTTCGAGCTATTACGAACTCCCAAGCGCGCTGGAGGGAAGAATAGATATCAAAGATACTGGGGTTTATGGGATGATAAGCGCTTCAATTGAGGGTTTATAAACCCCTGTCCAAATCCTCCCGCTCTCCATGGAAAGGATAAAACCCAGGTAAAATAGTAAATAGTATCAACTGTAAGGGCAGTTTCTGATGATTATGAAAAAAAATATTTAAAAATCAAATAATTTGAGTATTGCATTTAAAAAAAATAGTATTAATAAAATAATAATATACCTTGAATTTTAATTTAATTTTCATTCATTAATAAATATATTATAAATAGCATTAAGTTTTAGGGTATTTAGTTTATTTAGCCATTAATATTAATAATTATTTTTAAATAAATTAAATAATTAATTACATATATTATAGCTCAAAAAAATAAATACATATAGTGATGTAAATGATAATATGATAATAATAGTAAATTAAAATTGAAATGAAAAAAAAAATTAAAAACTATATAATATAATAACTCAGCGTAATTTTTTTTAATTGTGTATCAATTTAATGTTATAGTGATACATATTTAAAAATAAATACCATTTATTTAATATAAATTTGTAATATATATATATATATATATATATATATATATATATATATATATATATCACTTGTCACAATCGCACTCTTGGTGGCAGCGGACTTGCGATTGTGCGACACTCCCTTTCCAACAACAATTGAACTAAGCCAATTTGTTCTTGTGTCGTCTACCGCCAAACAACGTATGCTCGAGCCTCTAGCCTCGATTTAAGAGAAGGTTTTAGAAAACGAACAACAAGTGAGCTAAGCCAATTTGTTCTTGCGTTGCCTATGGCCAAACGACGTATGCTCGAGCCTCTAGCCTCGATTTAAGAGAAGGTTTTAGAAAACGAGAGCAGAGAGATTTTTAAAAAAGACGTTAAGCAAGCAAGAGAGTACAACAACGGCTCAGAATATATAACCTTGAATAGGGTTTATTAATGATTAACATTCTTTTTAATATAATTCATAATTGGAATAATCTTTTTTATTTATTTATTTGGTCGAATTATTAAAGTATAATATTGGATGTGGGACCCACCTTACCTATTTTTCAGCACATTTAATATTTAGAAATTGCACGACACATAAATTAATAATTATAATATTTAAACGAAAGTATAAAGGTATTATATTTCATTTTTATAAAGCCATAGACTTTCCACGGCTTACCTAAAATATTTTATTTTTAAATTTAATATTAATTCGGTATGATATTCAAACGTTGATATTTAAATTGAAAGTACATTTTTATATCAGTTTTAAAATGTATATATATTTTTTAAGTTGAATAAATAATAAAAATAATTATCTTAAATAAATATCAATTTTTATTTTTTATTTTTAAAGAAAAAAATATCAATGTAAAGTATTTATTGATCTTTTTAATAATTAATAAAATTTGTAAATGGAGAAAAAAAAATTATCTTTTGAGCTAACGTATAATTGTAAATAAATTAATATTTTGAAGTAAAAATTGGAAGAACTTATAATAAAAGGAATAATATTTAAACCAAAATTAATTTCCACGTTGGATTTCCCAAAATTCTTTTAGAATTTAGAAAAAGAAAATAATTTAATTATGTCTTAAAACTTTTAATTTTATCAAATTATACCTTAAACTTAAATAAGCGTTACAATTTTTACTATATGTTCAGCTTTCATTAATTCACCTCCAACCTTGAGGTTGTTTTATTTTTTTAATTTTTTTTAAATCATACTTACCCCCGATACATGACGTTAATAGCTAAAATCTCATAAAATTCAAATATCAAACATTCACAAGTCCCAACGTATCACCAACATAGTAATAAATGTCAAAATATTCTTAATCTTCGTAATAATATTAAAAATAATGTCGGGTGGGATTGAATTAGATTGTAATTCTATTTTCGGATTGGTCGGGTTAGACCCAACCAAAAAAAATGTCAACTCATGAAAACACACCACTGATTTAGATTTAAAAAAAAAAAAATTCAATATCGAAAAAAAGAATCTAATCCAATTCAAGCTGATCAAATTATCGAATCATATAAACAGTCCTATTTTAAAATAAAATAAAGCTCTAGATAACAAGTTTCACTCGTTGGATGGATCATGAATGTCCAGCTAATTTAGGAAATGATCATGAGTTTATAATCAAGGAATACTCTCTGTATAGGTGTAAGGCCTTTTGGAAAGCCTAAATTAAAGCAGAGCTTATACTTGGACAATATCGTACTATTACAGAGAGTTGGGTTGGTCTGACACCACTAACCCACAAATTAAACATTAAATATTTTTATTAAAAAAAAACACACATAAATTTCAACATAAAAACGTGAATTCGCGAAGAATAATAAATAAATAAATATATAAAAAAAGAAGAAAAGAAAAAAAAGAGAAAAAAACAGTCTCTGACAGTCTCTGACAACATCTGACAGTACAGTGAAAAACGGTTTACCGCCGGCGCGTAATGAGTGCCACGTGGCAAAGATAATGCTCAGGCCACGTGGTAACTTTGGAAGGTGGGACCCAAACGCTCCATTTTGGCTCAATAAAAAAATTCCCTCAAATTCTAAGCCCCCAAAAGGCCAAAGATCGTCGTCTCTAGGATTCTGTTTTCCTCCATTTTTTTTTTCTCTCTTTTTCTTTTTCTTTTCTTCATTTGGTTCCTTGTTTTCATCCGAAAGCAAATCTCAGAATCGTCTACTAAAAGCAGCAATAAAGTAAAAGATTGTTCAAGCTTTCATCTGCTTTATTGCGTTGCTGTTCTTGATTTTTCAAAACGATTCAAAGCAGGTCTTGATTGATTGATTTGTTGAACAGAAGAATTCAAGTCCATGGGTATTGCTGTTTCTGGATTTTCCCTTCCCTCGCTCTCCTTTTACTTTTGGCGAAATAAAAGGTGTTTGTTCATACGCTTTACCTTTGCTTCTACTGATTTTTTACTTGCTTCAGTTGCTTCTTTATTGATTTTCAATTTTTCATCGCCAATTCTTCGGTTCTTTTTGGTTTTCGTTGATGGATTTTGCTTGAACGAAACTGAGTTCGACTGTAACGGTTTGATTCTTAAGCTTTTCGTCGAGTTCAAGAACGACATGTTTGGGGATTTCAAAATTAATGACTCGATTTCTTTGTCGCTTGAAGCGATTTTAATATCTAGAATTCATCCTTGTTGTTTTTCGAGTTTTGATCTGGAATTCATAGACATTGATGAGATATTTGTGTTTGTGGCTCAGTGAATAGATTTAGGAGAAATTTATGAAGGTTATGTTTGTGTGGTTGAAGATTTTTGGGTGCAGGCAAACAATATGAAGAGCGACGTTAAGATAAGAAGGGGGAGGAGCGCTGGAAGAGGGGGGAATATTAGGAAGATAATGAAGTGCTTGTGTTCTGGTGAGAAAGCAGCTGGGGATGATGGGATTCCTGCATCAGAATCGCCTTTGCCTGTGGAGAATTCAGCAAGCGGGCGCTCTTCACGGACTAGCGAGATCAACAAGAAGCCAGAAATTGGCAATATAGAAGAAGCTGAGTCCTCGCTTCGCGAGAGTGGTTCTTTGAATTATGAGGTTAGAATCCTTAAGCTTTCTAGATTGCTAGTGATCTTTCTTGGTTTATTGTTTCCTCTACAAACTTGTTTATGGATGATTCTATGGAGCAAAGAAGCAAGATTCTAGAGTGAAAACAAAAAAAAAACATAAGCAAGCTTTCTTTTTGGTGCTAAATGATCAAGATTCTTTTGAGTATTGAATGAAAATTGACCTCTGCTTATATAAGTTCTTGGTCAGTTGTCAATGATTATCAATCTGAATGCATTGTTTTACAAAAATGGAATCTAGCGAAAAGGGAACGGAGCATTCCTTATAAGGGCGTGGAAACCTCTCCCTACTAGACGCATGTTAAAAATCTTGAGGGGAAGCCTGGAAGGGAAAGCCTGGAAGGGAAAGCCCAAAGTGGACAATATCTGTTAGCGGTGGGTTTGGGCTGTTACACATGGTATCAAAGCTAGACACTGGGCGGTATGCCAGCGAGGATGTTGGGCCCCCAAGGGGGATGGATTGTGAAATCTCACATCAGTTGGAGAGGGAACGAAATATTCCTTTTAAGGGTGTGGAAACCTATCCCTAATAGACGTTGAGGCTGATGGTGACACGTAACAGGCCAAAGCGGAAATTATCTGACTGATATGTATTGCAAAAATTGCTGTCATTGAAATAAAACAGAGATAGATTTGGTGTATTCTTAAGTATATCTCTGAAAAGGTTGTAATTAATTTATACCTGCTGTTTGAAGGAAGCAAGAGCATTGCTGGGGAGATATGAATATCAAAAGGGAAATATTGAAGCTGCTCTTCATGTATTTGAAGGAATAGATATTGCTGCTATAACTAGTAAGATAATGATCTCCATAGGTAGAAGAGGAGACTGCCCGAGAAGACGATCGCAAAGTTTTACTACACCACCAATGTCGATGCATACTGTCAGTTTACTCTTGGAAGGCATCTTTTTCAAAGCAAAATCACTGCAAGCCCTTGGGAAGTTCGGAGGTACTGTTTATTAGTTGAGTTTTGGGAATCTATGTCTTTTGTCAAACTCTTCAAGACATTGATCCGTAGCTGATCTACATTTTCCACAATTTTTGCAGAAGCTGCCCGAACTTGCAAAGTTATTCTGGACATACTCGAATCTTCGTTCCCCGAAGGCTTGCCTGAAAACTTTGGTGCTGATTGTAAATTGCAGGAGACCGTTACAAAGGCGGCGGAGCTGCTACCGGAGTTATGGAAGCTAGCTGATGCTTCTCAAGAAGCGATCCTTTCATACCGGCGGGCACTTCTTCATCTGTGGAACCTTGATGCGGGAACCACTGCTCGAATTCAGAAAGAGTTTGCCATTTTTCTTCTGTACAGTGGAACCGAAGCATGCCCTCCTAATCTTCGGTCGCAAATGGACAGCTCGTTTGTACCGAAAAACAATATTGAAGAAGCTATACTCTTATTTATGATACTTCTTAGGAAAGTTATTCTTAAAAGGATTGATTGGGATCCATCAATCTTGGATCACCTCTCCTTTGCACTAACAATATCAGGGGATACAAG